TCGGCTGCTTCGGGCAGCTCTCTCTGCCCGCTTCACACAGAGGATGGCTGGGCTCTGGAGCTGCCTGCTGGCTGTGGGTCTCCTGGCAGGGCTGAGGGGGGCCCTGAGCTGTGTGCCTCCTCCGGGGGGTAAGAAGGGGGAAAGAGGGTATTTGTGGGGAGGTTTGGCACAAATGCTGGGTGGGAGCTGGCTTGGGGCAGGGGAGGATATCTATAACTCTTCTTTGGGGAGTTCCAGAAGACCCTTGGAGGGTCTAATGGAAAGAAGGACTAGCGGGGACGTGAGAGCAGCCTTACAATATTAGAAGGGGTGCCCCAAAGAAGAGGGGGAAGGCAACCTATTCTCCAAAGCCCCTAAAGGCAGGAGAAGAAGCAACGGATGGAAACTAATCAAGGAGAGAAGCAACCAGGAACTAAGGAGAAACTTCCTAGCAGTGAGGACAACTAACCAGGGGAACAGCTTACAACAGGAGGTTGGGGTTCCCCCACACCGGAGGTCTTCAAAGGTGGCCCCCCCCCCCCAGGATGACTCCTGCCCTCCATCTATGCTGGATTAATATTGTGCACCATCCCCACCTGGGGACAGATGCCTCCACAGCCGTGCCCACCTCCATCTACACCGTAGGATGGCAGAGGCCATCGGGGCGTTGCAGCCTGACCTTAAAAGAGGCTGGCTGTGCTTGGGAGCTTCCCCAGAGTAGCTCCCTGGGCTCTTCCAGGGTCTATCCCTGCCAGACCACTGCCGAGCGGCCTCCCCTTTGGGTCTTGGGAATGGGGGCTCCTCACTTGAGGATGCTGGATGCCTCCTCGTCCTCTTGCGTTGGCTTAATCCTCCTCCTCCTCCAGAACCTCTCTAGGAAGCTCTTTCTCTGCTGTGGTGCCTTTCCTGGGGTCTTGCTTTTATCTCCTCTGCAGCCCCCTCCCCAGAACATCTGCCTAAGAGCATGGAGGAAGAGGTAGGAGCCACCCAAGAGGTGGAGGGGAGGTCTTCTTTGCCATGGGGCCCCAATAATGCTGGGGCATGATGAAAGGGGGTTTCTGGCTGTTCACCACCACCTCCTCCTCCTCCTCTTCCTCCCCCCTGCACGCACCACACCCTCTAGCCCTGAAGATGTTACCTAATTGGGTCACAAAATGTCTGCAAGAAAACAACCAAGCTCAGAGAGCACCAAACCCCAAACCCCTCCCGCTTCTCCTTCTCTTCCCCCTCCTCCTCTTCCTCCGTCTTCCCCTCCCCCTCCTCCTCCAGATCCACTCCCTTCTAGCACTAATGATGTTGCCTAGTTGGGTAATGAAATGTCTGCAAGAAAACAACCCAGCTCAGAGAGCACCAAGGACCCCTCAGTCCTCCTCCTCCTTCCCCCTCCTGCTCCCCCTCCTTCACTCTCAGTCTAAGGAATTGACGGACAGCCAAGAGGTCAACCAACCCATGGCTCCTTTTGCCCCTCAGCCAGGAACTGGGCCAGAGGCCAGCCTGCCACTCAGTCCTCCACATACCCTCAGTGGGGCACCGTCTACAGCCGAGCAGAGAGCGCCGTCGATGGCGACCGCGATGGGGACTGGCGCCATGGCTCCTGCAGCCACACCCTGGCAGAGGAAGAGCCCTGGTGGAGCCTGGATCTGGGTGCCTCCTACGCCATCTCGGCTGTGGTGGTGAAGAATCGCCAGGAGTGCTGCTCAGGGCGGCTTCAGGGGGCCCAGATCCACGTGGGAGACTGCGGGGCCCACCACGGCAAGTGCAACCCAATGTAAGGAGTGTCCGGATTCCGAGTGAGGCACCCATATCCAACAAAATTCCAAGGCTGGTAGATTCCAGGGGGCCCATCAACCTCCATGTGAGGAGCGCTGTTCTTGCCTCCCCCATCGAGGTGACTGGGTGCTCTCTCACTGGCGCCTGGAACGCAGCCTGGCAGCCGATGTCTTCCTCTGCGCAGTAGAGCTCCTGAGTGACTGGCCACTCAGGGCGGACTTTGGGTTGGGCACCCACCTGGTGCATGACCCCTGCCACCATATCCACCACCTGCTGAGCCTCAAGCTCTCCTCCATCTTCCCTGAGTCTTCCTGCTGCCCGAGTAGACTGGGTAAGCATCTGGGGCTCAGGAGCCCAAATAGCGGCTCTGGTTGGAGCTTGAGATTTAGGGGAGTGGGTTTAATATCAGGGTTCCAGGGAATAGATCCATTGCAAGCAAGAGTCAGGTAGATGCCTCAAAGAATACTTTTATTAGATATACCCAGGGGTGGCCTCCAAAATGTTTATCAACGGGTTCTCTCCCGGTTGCTGGGTGGGTGTGACCATGGTGGGCATGGCCTAGTCAGCCTCCTGCACCATGGCGGGGGGGACGTTTTCACCCTCCCCAGACTCCTGAGGCTTCCCTTGAGCCTCCAAGAGGGCGAAAACAGCCTCCCTGGCTCCAGAGGCTCTCTGGAAGCTGGTAACGGGCCCATTTCTTGCTCTCCCTGAGCCTCCGCACCTGCCTTGCACTTACCTGCATCCAAAATGGGCCACATGGGGTTGGGGTGGGCGGGGCGGGGCCAGCCAGGGTTTGCCAGTTCGCCAAACTGGCCATTAAAATTAATAACTGGTTTAGCTGAACCGGTGTGAACCGGTAGCAGCCCCACCCGTGGCTATACCATATTGGCACAGTACTGGTGAAAACCGGCTCTGAAGGTCCCCACGGTTTTCAGCTAATTAAAA